AGTGCCTTAAGTATAGTGGGGTCATTTCACGCCAAAAATACCAGCTTATTGGCGACCACCTCAACTCGATTCGAGGAAAGGTCCTGCTGATATTGAAAGCAGTGAATCACTAGAATATTTCACGTAGAAAAATTTTGGTCATTTGAGTGCTTTCCGAATTTATCGAAATGTCGAATGGCTATTGTTCGAGAAAAAAAAACGTGTCAAAAAAGTGTCACTACCTCTTTTAATACCAAATTTAGTTTATTTATTAAGCAATGGTGGCTGTGCAAGGTGCTTTAAGCGAATCATTATTAGTGAAATTTTTTGGCCACATACACCTACAAGAATTTAGCCAAAAGAGATTATATTTTCAGTTTTCTATTGCATTACTGCTTTTTAATTGAACATCGGTGAAAAAATATTGATTAATCCATATAACGTATATTTTGCAAAAAAGATTACCTTTGCACTCCTCAAGTCGACACAACTTAAGGCAGAACTTTACGAGAAAAAAATTACAAATTTTCCAAAATCATGAACTTTGTCTACATTGAGGCCAATTTGCACCACGTGGTGTTGTAATTAAAGATAACATTTATATCCAACTGGAAAGCAAGTAAGCAGCTCTTTTGATGTGCCAAGTTTTATATTTATAATCTTCGTTTCATTGAAGAAAATAACTTTTGAAGTTTACAATCGGTGGCTATCTTTCCATTTGGTTATATGGCAGCTTCCCTCTTGTTCCACGTGGCCCCAGCAATCCTCAAGACAGACAAGGCATTTCTTCTCTGCCTGAGTATAAATCGATGACATGCCTCACACGCGGGTGATGTTATTGCATGCGCCCTTCGTGCGACTGAGATGGGTTGGCTCTCTTCCCCTTTGCTTCAGCCGCCTTCGTAGTGCTCGCTCGCGTTCATTTACCCGCGGCTAGAACACACGATTTCGGGGTCAACACATCGCGCCCACCAAAAAAGTGGTCTGGTAGTGGCATTTCGGCTAGAAAATAAGTAATTTGAGCAGCCAACTTGTAGACTTTTCCATAATATGCACTGACGAAGGACATTGTCTCCGTACCTACAATAACAGCCTTACGTCCGTTGGCATCCACGGCTATTTTCTTCTCACGAACTAAGAGGCACCCATGGTTTTACGTAAATATTTGCTGTGCCTCTGACGGAGAGGTTTTACAGTGTACCGGCTGAACCTTTTTTTGTGTCCGCCTCGACATGATAGGCCCTTTCCCTCTTTCTAACAATGGTAACAGCCGGGTTGCCGTCACTAAGAATCATTCGACCCGTTTTGCTACTACGAGGCGTCTTCCGAGCAGCTGTGCTGCAGACGCCACTCACTCAATGAGGGCAACGTTCCTCATTGTCTAACCTTGTCCTGCGTCAGGGGTAACTGGCAGTATCAGATAAACAGATAGGCAAACAGACAGACGGACGGACAGAGGGCAGGCAGGCAGGCAGGCAGACAGACGGGCGGACGGACGAATGAACGCTTCATCCCACTCATCAACATTCACTTTATGGGTATGGTGTGATTTTTTTATTCAAGACGTCACTTCACATGACGCCGCTCTTTGTCAACTTGTCACGGACTGCGGTCGCTACTTTTCTCCAAGGTAATCGACGAACTACATTGTTTTTGTGCAACCAAGCACAAACTTAGGTTGGGCAATTCCCAAACAAACAGCCCCACAGAACGTTTGAATCGTTCTGTGTGAACTGATATGCTCTCCATGTACGTATCGACTGATCTCGACTGTGACACTGCGCTACCCTTTGTTGCTTTCACTTACAATAGCTCGCCCTACGACACTGATGAACATTCTCTTTAATACATTTTGTACGGTTGAGTACCAACCTTGCCACTCTACGCACTTGTACCCAACCCTGCTTACCTGTTAACAGCTTATGCTCACTACGCAATTAGCACAGCTTAAAAAGCTCTTCAGATGACCCCTTGACGCCTTTTAGACTCGCAGCTCCATCAGAAACAGTTATGACAGTCACCCTCGGAATGTCCACTTTATCCGGGTGATTTAGCTTAACTGTATTCTCAATCCCTGCATGCTGGCATGTTCAAAAGCTTCTGCCCAAGTACTCCAGGACCTACCGTGTGCTGCGGCAGGTGACTGCTGTTCCCAATGCTATAACCCCCTCTAAACCCTTTGGTGCCCTCCACATCTTCCGACATCGCCTACGTCGCTCACTTTTCATCCAACTCCTGTTAACACGCGCTGGGTCGGCGCTTTCTCCGCTGGAGGTCGATCATGCAGGATTGCGGCTACGACTGCGCTGTATGCGAAGAATAGCCGGATGACGACGTGTTGTATACGAAAAATACAACAGGCGCCATCTTGACTGCTAGACTATGTTCCTTCTGTAAGGTAATAAATATATCCATCACAATATGAAACGCCTTTGCCGAGATCATAAATAATCGAAAAGTTTGCTAGCACTGCTTTAAAGAAGTATTAACACGTAATTTTTCACTTCTTATTTTTTGCGTGAAATGGTAGGCCAAGCCCCCGAGAGCATGAAAAACGTGCCGCTAAGCGTGAGTGGGCCCTGAGAAACTGATTACATCATGCTTTTCTAAGCTAGTTTCCATTCCTACTGTACCCTAACGTCATGACGTAGTATGAGCAGTGCCACCAGGTGGTAGCATGTGCACATGCAAGTTTTCGTGACGTATCGTCGCCGTGATGTATGGCAAGTGTCTCGGCAGGGGGGCAAAACGTTATAATGACGTCACGTTTATGGCACACATTCTTTGTCCACCCACAATCCAAAGTCGGTCAGCAACTGCATGTTACGCGTCTACGCATTCGAAATGCAGTGCAGCCAACAGAGCAAACTGAGCTTGGTTGGCGCCCAGTCTCCAAGTCTGCTGCGGTACAAGGTCGACCCGCGCTGATCTAAGTGGTGGATGGAACGGGAATCAGTTGAACTTGCACGTACTGTGCCCCGTGTCTCTCGCACATGACTTTACAGGGCGAAATATTGTTACCTTAACGACAAAATGGAAATATTTCTTTGCCCTCTAATAAGCCTATATTTGCTATTCACGTGCATGCGCACTATTCCAGACTCGGCTAGCTCGCTTCACAGGTACGCTGGATCTCCATGACCACATGGCCGCACGACGCGAGCAGACGATCGAGAAGGCGACGCAAAAGCTGCCTTTTTTGCATTTTGTTGCTTGCTGTCGTCAAAACTAGCCAGACTGCTGCATGAAGTCACCTGGATTAGTAGTGTAGCCCGACGTCAAGCTATTGCCGATTTCGGTCGGGGTGCGCTTAGAAAGTTGGCTTTATTGTCAAAGTAAAATATCGTGTCAGCGTTTGCGAAGCGTCACACTTGCTCAGAGCCGTCTCTGTATACAAAATATTTGTATGGCAGAGTAAACTGGCCTCCGAAAAAAGGTGCCAGTACACCTTTACCCCGGTGTCTTCTGTGCGGTGGAGTTTAAAAATGCCACCATCGCATTCCGTACTGGTGTACACTCTGCCCTCACGCTTCTCTGGAACTGTCGTGTAGTAACCAAAAGGCTCCCAATAAAACCAAGACCCATGTATGTGGGGGCGGAAAATATACATTTAGCAATTTACAGTGAGAGGTGTGGATGCGATGAATCGGAAGGGCCCAGCTCCCACAAACTCTAGAAGAGATCCTCAGTCCGGTAGCCCTGTAGCTGCCGCGGCGGCCTGGTCTCCAGCCACCAATGCTTGTTGGGCTTGGAGCTCAGAGCAGCCGAGTAGGACGGCTTCCCACTCCTCATGGAAGAGAGGGTGAAGTTCGTGTGCAAGTTTGTTCACGGGTGTTTCTTTGCGGCTCTCTTCAGTAATAGCTGGGAAATTTCTTGCTTTTAAAGACAGCTATAGAGTACGCGTTTTTTACGACAAACATGGCTTCGTAACAAAAAAAATCAGGACCACAATATATTATCCTAAACTATGAATGTGTCATCGGTCGCAAGGGACATCCTTCTCTCGCGATGACACGAAGCACCCTGTGTTTACTCGCTAATTGAGTGGCTGCCCACACAGACAAAGAGATTTGGAATTTGATATAATACATACCCGTGTCAAGCTTGCAAGTTAAGTGTGTGTATAGGAACTACACCACAGTTAGTGTGCTTTACCAAATCTTAACAACCAAAGCGCAGCGTTACTCAGAGAAGAGTTTGTTACACCCTTTTTTGTAAATAGGAAGATGAGTGGAAGAAGAGGGAGTTACTCGCACTCCGACCGGAGTGCTTTTCTTTACAGCACTTTGTGGTGTCTTGTTCGCATACGTATCGAGTAATATCTAGTCGCAACACCTATGAAAATCGGCTGTGTTTTTGGTGACAAAAACTTAACACGGTTGTTATAAATAATTTAATGTAATGTAATGCTACTTCGGAAGGCTTTTTTATGTTTTAATCAACACCACCGAAAAACGTGCTCGCCGCCTCCCACCATTTCTTCTTTGGTTTAGGTGTGTTTCTGCTTTCCCGCATAGCACCACATAGCTAAGGTGTCACTTAGCGGCTCCGAAATGTACTCTCGGTAAGCGCACCAAATTGCCGGGGTGTAAGTCTTACTTGCGCACCACGCCACGATGGCTGTTTTGTCAATTTCATCGATCTGTTGAAAGGTAGTTTTATTGTGAATAAAGGGTTAATGTTGAAAACTGAGAAATCATCCAAGGGATTTTTTCACATATTCGACGCTAATACGTCCAAATATTGCGTTAGTACATTTGTGGTTCCGCGCCCTATTTCGGGCCTCGTATCACGTCAATAAAAGTAGTCTATTTGTAAAACCGTACGCATCAACGTACTGCATCGAAACTACAAATGTAGGCAGTCGTGGCTTGCAGATATATGTCAACGAGCTATTTCAGCTCAACTTTACTACTTATGAATATTCTGTTCTTTGGCATATTTTAGGTATAATTCTCCTGATAAATTTGGTATCTGCTGTGGAGTAGTTGCTACAGTTGTGCCTTTTTTCACTGGTGCAGGTGGACCACATAATTTCAACTCACCCGGCTTATCCGCAGATAGTGGCGAAGACGAAGCCAGGCCGGTAAGCTAGTTCTGACGAAATTGCAAATTAGTTACGCATTGATAGTGGAGACGATAGCTGTGACCCGAGCTATAGGCTCACTGTGATTGACAATGAATAACGCTTAAGACAACGCAGCTAAAACCTACTTCTTGCGCACTGCGGCGAATGATAAATGAAGCTGTAATAATTATGGGTAATTGACCGAGGCAGCTTCTCCTGAGCTCCGATAAACAGACAGACACACAAAGAACTTCATTGGGTGCTGAAAAACGCTACTCTTGTAGAGCACCGTGGCGGGCCGCTCCCATATAAGAACAGGGCGACCTAGCCTCACCGTCGCCTCGTGGGCTCTCTCGACAGCCCGTAGTTGTGGTAGCAACTCTGAACTTCGTAAGGCAAAGTCCCCATCTTCTTCTGTGAGTCGACTTGGGCCCCGTAAACGAGGGGCACTGCCAGAGCATACTTGCTAAGTCACTAACATTACCACAATTAGGACAGGTAGAGTCAAAAGCCTCTGAGAAGACCATGCTGAGAAAGGATAGACTTAGGAAAGGACCTGGTCTACAGCATTCTATATGTAATGGCCTGAGGTCCAGACAACTTTCTGTGTGGAAGAGCAAATGACCACCTACTCAAGTGGTAGTGTTTAGCCACTTCACTGAATGTAAGTGAAGCGTTCCTGAACATCTCACTGCCAACCTGTGGACTTAGATCCTCCCCATCGTGAAGGGTGAGTGCGCGCAAGCGGGAGTAAGCCGTGTTATTCAGGTTTACTAGAGAGTTCAGTAGGGGTTCGAGATGTGCAGAAACCAGGTAATGGTATGGGGAGAAAGTGTCCTATTTTCATGTTGTTTAAATACTTGAGCACAGACGGAACCACAGGCGAAAGCCTTGACCGCTGACCTTGAGTCGCTGAAGATTTGCGATCTGCTGTCATCGAAAAGGGAAAGGGTTACAGCCAACTGTTCGGCTCTTGAGAAGTATAGTCCCTAACTGACGCAGCATTGATAATAGAACCCATGTGACTGACGGAAATAGCAGAAACCAAGCGACTGCACTGAGTGGCATCGACAAAAGACACTGAATGAGGATCGTTCCTGATGCTCTTCAGAAGTGTGATTGCCCTTGCCTGGCTTCTGCCTACTTTGCGCTGTGGATTGACGTTTCGCGGAAACAGAGAGACCTGAATGGCAGTGCGCTGTTCATCCGGCAGTTGAAGCCGGTGATCTTACACGAGCGCCGGACTGAGACCGTGGACGGACAGAATCTTCCTACCAGCCGGCGTAGAGGAAAGGCGCATTAGCTGTGCAGTCTCTTGGGCTTCAATTATCTCATCTAGGGTGTTAAGAACTCCTAGCTGCATAAGCCATTCAGTGCGTAATCGCACGGGGATGCCCAGCCCCCTCTTTACGCTTTTTTCTGGTCAGAGTTTCCAGCTTCTTCTTTTTGAATCCGAACCAAGAGTGCATGGCAGCAACGTACGTTATGTGACTCATGAGGAATGCACGAAAAAGCCTCAATAGATTGTCCTCTCTGAGTCCCCTCCTTCTGTTCAAAACCCTATTATCAACCTCATCATGTTCTTGGTCTCGGTGGAAATCTTAGCGTTGGTTTGTCCGTTGTACCTGTGCGACTCTATAATCACGCCCAGCAGTCTAATAGGGTCCACTCTCGGAATGGGGGTGCCACTTCCGGTGCGAAGTACAATGTCTACCTCTGACAAAAGCTTCCAGTTTTTTGGCCTCGCTCCTTTTCTATTGGGCCTGTATACAAGCATCTCCGATTTACTCGAGGGGCACCTCATCCCTGTGCCAGCAAGGAAGAGCTCTCTCTGATCGTTGGCTTCCTGGAGTGCAGTCTCGACTTCCCCTTCGCTACCTCCGGGACACCAGATGGTAATATCAACAACGTAAAGCGTATGGTTTATGCCCTTCACGTTAGATAGCCAGTGTGGACAACTTGCATATAGCGATGGTAAAGAAAGCGAAAATATCACTGCTCCTTGTAGCGTGCCTTAGAGGCCCAGTGCTATAGGAGAAGACTTGAGGTCTTCGATATTGAGCGTGGCCTTCCTGGATTCGAGAAAGGAGCTGACTTATCTGTGGAAGGCTTCGCCTAGACCAAGCTCTGCAATGAAGTTTAAGATGTGCGCGTGAGAGATGTCGTCGAGTGTTTTTTCCAAGTCAAGACCCAGGATGCCTCTTACGTACTTTGTGTTCACGTGTATGATTTGATGTTTGAGTAGCTTCATCAAAGACGGGCTAATTCCCACCATGTTTTAAGGAAAATACCTTTCTTCTCGATGTACTTATAGAAACGGTTTTGAATGACGTGCTCCACCACCTTGCCGACACAGGACGTTAGTGACATGGGCCGAGGATGGGCTAAACTTGGAGGGCACCCCGGCTTGGGAATGAAGACAACCGACGCCATTTTCCAAGAGTCTGGGACAGAACCTTCCCTTCATATGCGATTGATCTCAACGGTCAGAAAATTGATAGATTCGTCTTTCAGGTTTGTCAGGGCCCTGTTAGAGATGCCATCCGGCCCCGCAGCCGATCGTTCATTAAGGTTTTGAAGAACTTCTCAAACGCCGATGGTAATAAAGGGCTCTTCAAGCTTAGTGCAAGGGGGTCCAGTGTAAGACGGATAGTCCTGAACACCTCGAGGAACCAATGGATAAATATCTGTGAGCCAAACCGTCCAGTATAGCGTCTTCAAAATCAGACTGTCTGGCGGCACGTATGAGTTTCACAACGGCTTGCCTTTGATTACTCTTGAAATTAGACTTGTTCAAAAGTTGCTTTAGCAAATCCCATTCCCCTCCTATTTTCACTTGGCCATCAACAGAATTGCACACCTCATCCCACTGCTGCCTAGAGAGAGTCTGGCAGTGGTCTTCGATGGCCAGGTTAAGTTCTGCAATCTTTTTGCGGAGCCAGCGATTGAGCCTCTGTCTCGACTGTCTTCCACCTCTTGAGTAATGATTTCTTGGCCTCTAGAAGGTGTGCAAGGTGGCTGTCCATCCTATCTGTTTCCAAATCCGCGTATGTCTTTTTTGTCGCCTCACTAACGTCTCCCTTGAGCTGTTTGGCCCATTGAACCAGGCTGGAGGTGGAGCCTCCATCTTGCGCGCATCTTTTCTAATAGGCCGGAAGTAATCCCAATCTGTGAAACTAAACTCTCTTACGGGCTTGCCCTTTACACTGACATGGGTAACTAGGACATCATGGTCACTACCTAGATCCAAGTGCAAGTTGTGCCAAGTAGCACACTCAACATTTTTAACAAAGGTAAAACCTGGCGTGGTGTCCCTCGTGCAGAAGTTACCCATCCTGGTCGGAAATGCTGTGTCCGTGGCTAGGGTGTGGTTCAAGTTCTCCGCTGCTTGCAACAAATCCTTCTCTTTACGGGATCACCTGCAAGATAAGCCCAAGCCTGACGAAGAGCGTTGTAACTAACCCGCAACCACAAGCAGGGAGATACTGGCCTTGGCAGCAGCCCTACTCATGAGCGCCGCAAACCTTTGTCTCGAGTCATTTGGAGAACTCTAAATATGAAGGATGGAAACACTACTCTTGAAATGACCTCCCGGAATAATTTCGACCAATGAGTGTTCCACCTTACTACTGTCCATCGAAAGACCGTGAGAGATATAGGTGTATTCCTTAGATACGAGCGTGCAAACGCCCCTTCGTCGATCTCGTCCATCTCCATAAAGAGCGGGAAATCCGTAACCTGGCAGAATTACAGATTCTGAAAGTGTTTCCCGAAGCAAAATGACGTGCGGCTTTTCAGAGTGAGAACGAACTAACTGCTGAAGAACCGCCTTCTTGCGGAGAAATCCCCAGCAGGTCCACTGCCAAAGCTTGAACTCTTTAGGTGGACGCGCCATGATTAGGCTCGTAAGATCTGTGCCTGCGTTTGAGTGCGTTGACCTTAGCGTCCAACGCACAGAAGTTAGCGTCCAACGTATTGACCTTAGCATCCAGCGCACAAAAGTTGTCTGCCAAGGTATCAAATTTAACAGTGAACCAATGTGACTGTTTGGCTAAGCGACTAGAACATCTCTCTGATTTTCGTTTTAAAACTATGCAGTTCGTCATCAAGTGCGGGCCCCGTCAATGCCCTCTTTTTGGTTGGATGAACAGCACACTGCGCTTTCACAGGCGTTTCGACGGGCGTCTCCACGGGTTTTTCCACGGGCATTTCCAGGGCCGTTTCCATAGGTGTTTTCACAGGGCGTTTCCATAGAACGTTGTAGAGCTTTACTCTTAGCGTTATTAGCCTTCGACAATCTCGGCTCTAAGTTGCGCAATTGCCTCTTTTAGTGCAGCGTTCTCACGTTCCAGCTGAATCATTCTATTTTTGTTCAGGTCTGGCAACATGCCCCTCGTTACCTGTTTCTGGGATGCTTTGACGCGGTAAGCCCATTAGGTTGCCGTGGCGAAGCACATGAATGCTGATGGCCAGGGCCCCGTGATCGGGGATCGCTCCTGTATCAGGAGTGCCCCCTCGAGCTCCTGGACTTCGACCTGGACTTGTTGACCGGTTCGGACAGCTCATGTATTGGTGGCAAGTCCTTGTTAAAGTCGCTTCTCTCTTCTGCGCTGTCTGCCGATGTAAGGTATCTCCAATCTTTGTGTACAGGTACTGTCAGCCGTTAGATGAGGCCCTCCACACAAGGCGCGCTTAGGCGAGCAAGCGTAGTGGTCGCCAGGGGAGGTCATTCCGCAAGCCCGGCAGATAACATTTCCTGGAGTGGGGCACATGTCGGCGCTGTGCCCGGGTCTACTACAGGCATAGCAGACGTCCGTCTGCCGTCGGCAGAGGGTGCATTGACTATGCTAGGCCCACAAACTAATTTGGGACTTGAAGTCCTTCGAATAATATAACGACTCTGGTAGAATTCTTGATTCGCTACTTTTCGAGAACAGTGGGATTCGTTGTCTGAATAAGAAGTCTTCTGAGCACTTCGTCGTCAAGTTCCATATCGATGTCTTTGATGATGCCCTTTAATGTGTTGTCGGGCGCAGCAATATATGAGCTCACCTTGTACCCTGCGTTATTAATAGTGATAGCCTATAGACTTGCGTAGGCATTGGCGTCGGCTTGCGATGGCGTACTAATGACAAGAACGTTCTGCATAGCATTGAAAAAAATGGTGTCTTCTGTAAGATCCGCAGTGGAGAGTCGCGCCACTGCCGTGAGGGCTTGAGAAATCCGGACATTACTGGTATTTTTAACGTTCAGGCCTCCCGGGGCCTAACAATGATTTAAAAATGCTCCCTTGGTAGATGAGGCAGCCTTGACGCGTTTGGGAAGCGTTTCTTCACGTTGGCGGGAGATTGGGTGCCACCGTTCTCGCCATATGGTGGGCCTTAGACTTCAGCACCCGTCACGCATTCTTTAGTTGATTTACGCTTAGAAAGTGCCGTTGTCCATACAGAGCACTAGAATTTTTTGGCAAAAATGTCCTCCCCTTTTACAGTGGGTACTTGGTAGCCATCTTAATAGCTCAAACGCGCTAAGACTAGCGTTCAGCTTAGGTAAGCTTAACCTTAGGCCTAGCAAGCTACGGCATGGTTCAGCAAGAAAGTCCTTCAAAAGTTGGCAAAAAGTTCACTCATTGTGACAAAATTGTTTACACGTGGTCCTCAAGACTTCAGGTGTCGACCGGAGTAAAGCGCATCATACACATAGCTAACTTTTCACAGAAAAAAGGTGATCAAGCAGGAGCCAATGTTTATACGACCGCATGAATTGGCGCCCCCTAGCGTTCCCCCTGATAGATAAGCAACGCGTTTACACGATAGGTTCCCTTCATTGTTTTCGCAGTGTTTGAGCACAGTCTTTCACTCCTTGGCATGAAACACATCCAATTAGCCGAATTCGCGGCCTCATTTGATTGAGTGTTATGTTTGGCAATTCCTGAATGGAAGAATATTTAAGAAAGTTGAATGATGAGATCTGAGGCCAGGAAGCCAGTTGCTTTGAGTTATCAACACTTACTTACATAACTGGCATATTGCGCAGTTTTGGCAGACACCTGTCGACAGCCCTGGAACCATGTTTTCGTACCATCACGGCCTTCAGCGTAATGCTAGTCGCCCTCTGAGCATGCCTTCACAAGGCTAAACAGAAAGATAGCTCAAAAAGGTAATAGTGCAGTAAGTAAGGGGCACTACGGAGACGAGCATGCGAATTGCCGTGTACGCTTTTTAAGTATAAGAGGTACATTATTTTTCAAACTCATAATCATCTTCATCGTTTATGGAACCTTTGAAGGGCTTATGCAGGAGATTACAAAGGGAGCGGGGCGGGATCTTCAGCAGGATTACTAAAAACAAGCCTGAGGAAGACAGCGACCACGAATAGTGTCTTATTATATTGAATGGTATTGAAGGGTTTTCTACAGTTTGTCTTGGAACAGTCCAGATTGCTCGGCTTATGTCGCTCACTTTTAATGCTGCCTAGCATAAAAATATATTGAATTTGCTTTAAATATTTTGTTTAAAACTCCACTTTGGCTCATAATTTCAGTAAATGATAAATATAGCTGCAGTTCTGAATGTCCACGTGAGAGGCGTAGACAGGAACGTTTTTATTATAGGGTGGGGTTGGACGTGGGAGTGTCTTGGTTTTTTTTTACAGTGGTATGGCCATAGGAGTGACTTTTTGTAATGATCTTGAGGGATATTCGCCATGTCTATTATTGTGCTCTAGGCCAAGAAAGTTTCTTAATATTCCTAATAAAAATGAGAAATGCTGCCACCCTTAAAAGTTGGAACAATGAAAATTGAATAGCGAAGTTCTTTTCGAGCTTGCCATGGTTTTGTGTGGTTTCACTCGCAAAATCATATCATCACCACAAACCTGCCTGTGCCCTCTTTGTCCTCTTTTTTCGCGTCGTCGTCATTTCTTGCCTCACTCCCAAAACACCAGCGCCCATTTTACCTGCGCAGGATGCAGTAACTCTGATGAGCGAGACGACGCCTGCAGAGAGAGAAAGAGAGAAAGCAATAAAAAAAGATATAGAGCTCTTTGCTAAATGTTTTTTTTTTTGCGAGGTGAGATTTGAACCCACGGCAGACCGTCCGAAGGCTAGGGTCTAGAGGAGCACAACATAGCTTTGTATACCAGCAAGGAGATGTGAAAGTAAGCTAGAAGAGAGGCAATGTTAAGGTAACGAAAAGTAAAATGTGGAGAGAGTAAAACATACTATAGAAGGAAAGATAGAAACCAAGAGGATGATAGGCAGGGAGATAAAGATGGAGAGCAAGAGAGTGAATCCAAGAAAGATTGTAAAAAATACGGATTGCGAGAGAAAGTGACATAAATAGAAGCGAGATTACAGAGATAGGGAAAAGGAAATGCAGAATTGTGAAAAAAAGAATAGAAAGAGCGTGAAGAGAACAGAGTAGCGAGGTGAGGATTGCGAGGAAAAGAACGTCCCCAGCCTCGCCACCGAGTATGCGTACCACTAGAGCTGACTGCCAAAATAAATAGTTAGTGGAGTCCGATGGTGGCCAACGATAGTCAAACGGTGAAGCGTTGGGGATAGGCAGGATGAGAACGGTTACCATTATAATTTTTTTTTCTGCAACTGCGCAGAAGACCCGAGGATACGCTCAACGATCTGCTTCAGTCCATGAGCGACAGGCAGGGCCTAGATTCTCTGTCAAGACTTACGACAGACCTTCACGTGTGGCCTGACTTCCACGGCAACCGGTCACCGCTCGCCGACCCAACGCTACGAGGAATGGTGCGTCCGGAGTTTTTACTAATTTGAATATTCTCGAAGGTATTTTACATCAATATATTTTGTAGCAATAGGTAGCAATAGTTGTATCAGAGTCCTTCGACACTTTTACTGGTCGTAAAGGTTCGCCATAGTTCAATGGGAGAGCTTTGGGGGCTGCGAGTGGAGGTCGCGGGGCGGCGCTGCATCACCACGCGGGGCATCGGGCAGACCGGAGGAAAGCTGGCTGCTGGTGCCGCTATGGAGTCAATGCATACTATTGTGGCGTGCGATCGCATAGCTTTTCACCGTGTGACTACTATTGTGCCAAGTGAGCTGTGCCTGAAGGTCTGGAAGGATACCGTATACCTGCTCGATACCAGTTTGTCAATCCAGTTACAAAAGAAATGACGAAAAAGTCTGCGAGTTATCGCTTTCTACAGAGATCAGCGGGAAAAGTAAGCACGCCATGCCGCGACAAGAAACGGGAGGTTTCACATTTGTTTCCCCAAATGTGCACGTGTGCGAAAAGCCCTTCGATGAAAGTGGCATCGTTCGCGTAGACCAGGGGATAATCGGAGGTGTTGCGAAGTCACGACGCGACGTTCCCAAACTTTACCGAGGATTTTACAAGGTCTCATGATGACGTACTCGTTTAGTGCTAAAAGATGCGGAGCTCGCCCGCCTTCAAGCAGTCGACGGGAACCGACAGCGAGCTGGGTAGTTGAGGTTGCATTCTACTGTGCATTAGCCTTTATTGACATCGCAGCAATGATTATTCACGTATTTGTATGAAGGTGAGCATACCGATCGCCTCTTCCTTGTTCTATGCCAGTAGGTAATACGGAAGCCTGATGAGTGAAATGCTCACCGTTCTTGCTTATAAATGCAAGGAGATGACCAAAAGTGTAGAGGTGATATGTCAAACAGGCGGATCTACATGCATGCAGCTCCTCACAGTTGGAAAAAATCAAAGCACACATTTGTTTTATGCAACAGAGACTTCAGCGCTACCAATTAATTTTTGCCAGGGTAACGGCGCAAGCGTGGTTGCACTTCAATGCTGTACAAATATTGCGTAAGCTGTAAAAGCCTGAAAAGTTAATTTTCTCAATCAATGCGTCATGAGCACGAGAAATAACTTTTTGCATCACTTGTTGACGCCCCTCGGGGCGGTACGCAGTCGGTCGATTTTCACCTTTGAAGAGGCATGTGTAAGGCTTTCTTTTTTACAGTAAAAACAATGAAGAATACACCATAATTATAAACTAACGCCAAACAAAACATGAAAACTAGGCAAACGTCATATGAAGTATTGCTTAATCATCATCACTTGATGAATAAAAGGTTCTATTTATTCAGAGTGGCCGTTGCTTTAATAAGTGCGAGGCAATATTGGGATATATATTCTCGTATATAGAAACACCGAATATATAGCCTAGAAGATTGGATATGCGCTGTCAAAAGTTGCAGCCACTGCACTTTTGAGACGCACTTAAGAACTACCAGAGTAATTTAAGAACTTTCCTATCGTACACAAACTTTCACTAGATGCTCAAGCAAAAATAAATATGCATGGTTTTATAACAGTAGCATATTTTGCAGTGGAATCAGCAAGATATCGCACTTGTAGCTAAAAGTCCTCTATCAATGCTAAATTTGAATGTATTAGAGCTTTTTCGAATTTTCTTGAAGCAAACATCGATGTGAAGACGTATCTAACTTTCAAGGCTACATTTACTAACGTTTCGCAGCTCCGGAACGTGCCCTACGATTGCAGCGCCGCGGCCGCTCCGTTGCCCTGCCATGTGCGAGGGCGCCCTTAGCGGTCCCTACAGGCTGTATATCAAACTTTCGCATGAAGCTTCACAGCCACTAAAAGTATTCAAGGACTCTGGTTGTATCATCTTCTGAAGAAAAGCCGGCCTTGCAACCTATTCATTCTGGTAGCAACGGCAGGTTGAGTTGGTATAAAACTCGTAAGGAAACTTTTCAGCGTGCAGATGACGCGCAAAGACGTAAAACAAGAGGACATGCAGCGCTTGCCTTCTTGATTTGCAGTTCTGCCGTGCACGTGCTGAAATTTCTCCATAAAGAAGTGGGAATTTTTCTCCCACAACTTTATTTCTGAGCCCAAGGTTTCATGGCCTCTGCTGTATTAGAAAGTTTTTCCCCAAAATAGTGCTCGAACAGCTTCTTTCCACATTGAGGCATCAAAGCACCAGTTGTGGAAAATATTGCAAATGGCAAGAAACCACTTCACAGGATAACATGACAAGACCATGAACTCGCAAATACTTACAGGTTAATGCTCAGTTACAGTTTCTGAGGCAGCCCGATGCTTCTGTGTGTCCATCTGTACGGCCTTTTGTCCACCTTTGGACCAGTTTTTGTAGAATGTCTACCGAGAAAACAAAAAAAAAAACATTAGAAAAATTTCACTTTGTCTAGCATACCCCATGTAACACAACTTAAATTTCTCGGCCTCATGAGGTAGCAGTATCGAAAGGATGATAACAGCTCCTGCTTTATGTTTGTCTATCTCATACCACATTAGCAGGCTCCAAAATATTGCCCCAGTCATTGTTAAGCAACAAGTCTAACAGAAGAAAACAGAAACAACATTTTATACTATACATAAATTAAATTTCATAATTCTCACTCAATAATCTATTTTCCTTATGCAATATATGCATACACGTTGAGCCCCGCCACGGTGGTCTAGTGGCTAAGGTACTCGGCTCCTGACCCGCAGGTCGCGGATTGGAATCCCGGCTGTGGCGGCTGCATTTCCGATGGAGGCGGAAATGTTGTAGGCCCGTGTGCTTACATTTGGGTGCACGTTAAAGAACCCCAGGTGGTCTAGATTTTCGGAGCCCTCCACTACGGCGTCTCTCATAATCCCATGGTGGTTTTGGGACGTTTAACGCCACATATCAATCAAATCACCAGTGGCGACAGTTATAACCTTGATTCTATCGAAGTGCATCTCTCATATGCATAATAGGTCTAGATTTTTACAGGACAGAGAAGTGCAGACAAATCGACTCTACAGACACCTTAGAGCATGTCCTGCGGGAGTGCCCTGACATAATAAATAATAGCTGTCATGCAACCTTAAACACCGACAGCGTCCGCGCGGGAATGGGAGAATGCGTTGCGCAGCTCAGACTTGGACCACCTTTATTGGCCTCCCGGCGAGCCGAAGAAATCACCAAGAGCCAGCTACCCTTGGCCTAAGTCTAGGTAGGATCTAGGTCCATTCTACCAATTCGCAAGCCTGGCACTCAATAAATTTATCTGATCTGATTGATCCCAAAAGCCACCTGAGTGATTAGGAAGTTCTCCAGTTGAACCTATCACCACCAACTAAGTTGACTCTACGGAGATTCGGGGTACTGGCCTTCTTTTTGAGCGCTTCAGAGCACTTTGGCAGCGAGGGTTATAACTGGTTGATGGGCTCCAAGTGCTCGCAACAATTTAACACTTTTAGGTTGAAGGGTCACGTAAGAACTAACGACAGCTAAAAGCAGTGGTTATGATCCGTAACCTGTAAGAACACTATGACAACTCTAATGAACCGAAGTGTTGCAAATATTTGGACGTCATACCGAGACAGTATAGTGGAAGTTTTGACACTAGCAAAAGGATGAAATTTTACCTACAGAATCTGGTGGCCTTGCGGATGCCTAATTTAGGCCTGTAAAGATTTCTTGGGTTTGATGGCATCACACCGCTGCCACCACTGTTAGGATTTCACTGTGTCGCAATGGTAGCGTTCGCCTAGAGTGGCGAGCAGCCGAACAGATATCGCTGAAGCCTTCGCCCAGAGGCGGAATAACGAGGCAGTCGTTTTTCGAATGGCAACGTTAGCTAGAGCAGCTTATCGTTTGTAAAAAGCCGGCCACCATGACGACGTCCGCTGGGGCAAATCTCAGAAACATGAGGACAGCCCGGCCTTAAATAATGTTCCAGGCTGCTCTCCGAGACCGGTTCCCGGTGCTCGGAGGGAGGGGGGAGATAAGCCTTCGCTGGAACTATGCGTGGCGCGTGCCTCTGTTTCTGTGGAAAGTGCTGCTGGGAAAGGCAGACTTCACCGGAACAGTGAGGGGCTCACCACCGTATCCTGGAGAAGAAGGGCTCCCGCAAAGGACCACGCCTCTGGCACAACAGCATCCCCGCCACCAGGCAATGCTTCTAGAGTTTGGAGCCGCCTAATACCCCTGTAACACGGGCACCCGCGAACACCATGTAACTCCCTCGTCCTTACGACAAAGGAGATGGGGTCCGTGTCACACGGCCACCCTTACGCAAACGAACGTAAACGGAGCAATTTCGAAAACGTAGTTCCACTATCTCCTTTTGGAGCGGATTCAGGTACTGTCGTCCCCAGTACCTGGAGGTCAGGAAAAAAGTTCGAGCGTAAAAATGGCCACAGTGAGTACAATAATACATTTTCGTAATATTAAACGCTTTTTTGTTGCAGTACTCATTCATAACGTGTTTTTTTCACACATTGCTATGGTATGAGCCGGGCTGTAGTATGTGCCGGGGAGGTAGAAGAGGAAGACGACGTTGTCTGGTGCGGCCTGAGGACTCCATCTTTATCGTGACTGCCCAACTTCATCCTCACCCTGTAAATAAATCCACCTATTCTTTAATTCAACCGTAACAGTTTTATGGTGGAGGTGCTGGGTAATCGACCAAGCAACACGACGCTTCAAGCGCCTGATCTACGACGAAGCCGCCGCCTTGCTGGACTGCCCCCGTTACCACTGGCAGCTGAGATGTCTCACGGCGAAGAAGGAAACCGGATCCCCGCAGCTGCAGACCTTCTACCAGTCCCAGCAGCACCGATAGTACCAGGTTCGCATGCGGCTGGTCCCTGGTTGCGTCAGGACCTGATAGTGCCTCGCACATTCGGTGGCGAATCTGGCGAGGACGTGAATGCCTGGCTCACACATTACAAATGGGTGAGCAAATAGTACCAGTGGGATGCGGCGACCCAGCTGACCAATGTAGTA